TTTTGTTTTCCTAAAGGAAAGTGTTATAGACAATAAATCTATACATCAAGTAAATGACAACTTAGCTATACAACAATGACAATATGTAGAGAAGCCACTGAAAACCTACATATAAGCCACTGACAAACACATAAGCCAATGACAACAGGCACAATAGCTAGTCACAACCTACATATGAGCTCATGACAACATGCATAGCAGCCAGTCACAACCTACGCATAAGTCAATGACAACATGCACAGCAACCGATCACAACATACAGAGAAGCTACTAACAATATTCGCAAAAGCCAATCACAACCTATACATTAACCACTTACAACATATAAAGCAAACAATGATAACCTACACAGAAGCCAATGACAACATATATGCCAACCAATAATAACATATAAGGTAGTCAATGATAACATATAAAACAACTAATTACACCATACATGGTAGCCATTTATAACAGCACATAGCACATTAACAATACAACTAACATCAAAGTAAATAAATGATATCCATACTTACCCTTGTGAAGTACAAGTAACATCCTATATTTTTGGTCCCATCAACCTTTTCTTTCTTCTTTTCCTTCTTGAACTTTGCAATTGAGCTGCAAAATTCATTGAAAATAAAGATGCTCAAATCATACTCTTCTAATCTATCATTTGTTGCCACTATCACCTTCAACACTTTATCACTTACACATACACTAGAACTAGTACACAAGAGGACTCCTAATGCATGCATAACAAAAAGGAATTCAAAATTTTTAATATTTTTTCCTTCAATCAACCATCTTATTGTCTTGTATGACACTTTTCCATACTCATTTCTCAATTTCTTAAATGTTACATCTTCATTCTCCACTTGTATTTCAATCTTCTACTCTTCAAATAGTAGGCCCATCAATTGATTTACATCTTTGGGTGCCATTTCATGTGTCTTCCTTTGAATTATGGAAGGAAACAACATAATTCTTTCCAATTTGTAAGCAGCAAATTTCAACCAATTTATGACAACCAATTCTTTCCAGCCTTTCCATCTTATCTTCTCTTTTCTTTAAATACTTGTAAATTTCCATAAATTATTTTGAAGCACATCGTGTACAGAAGGGAACAACATTTATTTCCTTTTATTGGGACTCTCATTTTCTTAGTCCTTTTACTATATTCTTCTTTCTCCTTCTCTGTTAACTTCCCCCAAGCCTTTTTTTATGGAGTTACTGCCTTCTTCGAATGACATAAACTTCTTTTTGTTCTTCTCATAAAATTCTTAAGTAAATAGTATACATCTTGCGAAGTTTCCAAACCTTTGTCCATTTTTACTTTTACTCTTTTTAGCCATTTTGTTAAACTACAGAAAAAAATTCTCTCATCACATTACAATTATGAAGTTCATATTTAGTCCTCTAAATTAAATAATTACAGTAGCCAAGGAATTAAGACTATAACATCAAGGATCCAAAACACAAGAATAATAGCAACTTCATGACTATAATCAACATTTTAACATTTATAATCAACAGAGTCAGGGTGATTTACTTTGTCCCCATGAAGATGTCTATATATATATATTAGCACATAATCAACTTGTTGCATGTCAAACTTCAACAAAAAAAAGTAGCATTTTAACATTTAGCATCTATGATATTCACAACATAAATACAACAGAGAGTTTAGCACTATTATTATTGTGCTCAGTCAACAAATCAAATATAATATAGTTAAAATAAAAATCACACTAACCCTGCTGTGCTCAAGTCGATGATGATGCTAACTATAGAGGCCAACTGCCCACACTAACCTATAGAGGCCAAATTTAAACCAATAGCTCGAATACATTAGAAGTAAGTGACTATTTCATCAAGTATCTATGGACAACAAAAAATTATTTGCTCATATGAATAATTTGATGCTTTCTCATAATGAAATTTATACACACACATTAGCTTTTCTCCAAGTTTAATTGGTATTGTTAGTCTTGTAAGGATAATGACCTGCTCATACTCCTTAAAATGCTTTCCTAATAGTTTGTTGAGGAAGAGCTATGAAAACTATTAATTAGTTCTTATCACCAAAACCAATCATATCAATAATTAAATTTTTCCTCTTGCTTAGAAAAAAAAATGTTTGCTACAGACAAGTCACTACATCTACATGATCTTATTCCGTATATGTTTGAACACCTACCTAAAAATAAATATAAGTTTGTATGAGATACTATGTCATTATAGAGTATATACGAGTAGATAAAATGTATATGACAATAATTAATAAGGTTAATACCTAAGTCTACTAGGCATTCACAATTGAGCATTTGAATTATTTTTGTCAAGCTTTAGTATTGACAAGCCATGATAGATTGCATCAACAAATTTTTTTAATACTATAACTAGACATAAGTCAACTACAATATAAGTAAATTCACAAGAACTTAAACACTTTTAAAGTATCCAGTAGATAGCAAGCATGCATTAGTATATTGAAAAAGTTGTCAATTAGCACAAAGTACCAAAGCAGTTATTTTAAACCCTAAAATGAAAAAGTTCAAATTTCCCAAGTAAAACCAGCTCTGTAATGTTCTAAAAAATCTCAAAAGATATAAAGCAATCATTACCCATCCTTGAATGTTGACAGAAACTTTTTGAACAGTTTCAATGCGATAGAAATGATGAAATGCTTAACACGTAGAAATCCACCTAAAAGAATATACAATAAGGATAAATGGAAAGGAAGTAGTTAGTACGAGCGTAGAAGCACCCTTTTTGTTTGAAAATAAACAGGAAAGTGAGAAGTAAGGCAAACTGATATTGCAACTTGAAATGAAAACAAACCCTAATCGCTTTGAATTAAATGTGACTATGTTTAGAGTTAGAGGCCAATATATGTCAGAGTTTCTACCCTCCTCTTCTTGGTGGCAAGCAGTGACAATGAGATCTGAGCAGCGCGAGATAGAGAGATAAAGGTGAGAGGCAATGTGCGAATGAAAAGTAGGAATAGGAGTAACCCTCAATTTTTTTAAAAAAAAATTCACAAGGATAGTTTGGTAATTTTATAAATACAATCTCCTACCCTTAGGTCCCATGGGACTTCTTAAATATTTGAAAATTTTTAGGGACTTTTTATTGTTTATTTTTTTTACATGAGACTCTACAATAATTTTCCCTAACAACTTCCTTTTGGCCATTAACAAAAAACCAGCATGACCATGAAAGTTACTAATTATTTTTTATATATTCAATAACAAGTGTGCATTAAGATAGTGGCTCTACTAATGTTCCCTTATTACTAACATCACTCAACATGCTATTTATGAAAAAATACTTCACATATCTATCAGAATCCTACTCCCAAAAAAGTAAACGAAGGTAGAGCTTACATCTTTATATACACCAAAAATTAGGCATCCCATATGTACTTCCAAATTTAAGATGGCTTAGGATTCTTCCAATCCTTCTTATGTGTTCAGCTTAGTGGCATCTAGTGCAATGGTATATCCTTTTGTTTTGCAACCATAAATTACTATTTATATCCGTTCACCAAACAAATATATCTCATCATTTTTTAAATTAAAAAAAAAACAGAACAACTTCATTCATTAACATTTTTAGAATAGGGTTCACACATTCCCAAGGGGTATTAACAACAAACTCCACCCTATATTTACTATATAGACTTATAGTTTGTCCTCACAGTACTCACACAACAAACCCACTGCCTTCTTCAAATTTTCCTTAGATAATTAGCCATTTCACAACAATAATGACTCTAACTCCTATTGAATAGCAACACACTCCTATCCCTAAACATTTTTGCTTATGCGCACAAAAACAAAAAACCTCTCCATGAACATCCTTACTTCAACATCCTCCTCCTAACAAGCTGCCTCAAGCTTACCTTCCTCCCTGCCTAAAAACCTAGCTACCCAAAACAAAATACCCATAAAACATGAAGAACAAGAACAACATTATGAAGCTCACGTGATTGAGAGAAGAAGATTATGGTGTCAAAAATTGTAACAGCCACTTTTCTGTAAAGTTTACTATGGCAAAATGCCTACAATGCAGTATTTTATTTAAGCATCATCATCCATCAAAGGGTTGAAAATTTTAAATATGGAGTTTGGGGGTTGCATCATCACTTTGAATTTTTACTAAGAGGGAGAGTTTTTTCTGCTAGAATTTTCTCAGGGCAATTCTCTAAGAAGTTTGTGAACTTCGAAAGTAAAGATAAGAGATCCCAATCCTTTTGTGTGTTTTCTTACTCCTCTCTTCTCATTCTCCTCCCCTAACTGGAATTTTTGTTACCTTAGAGATAAATCCTTAGCAATTCTTTGAATCAATGATATAATTTGACTCAGAGTCGGAGTAGACATTTAGGAGGACGTCCAAGTGTGTTTTGGGTAATTTCCATAACTATTTTAGGAATCCATTTAACGCATATTCTCACCTGTTTCTCCTGTTGGCTCCTTTAAAAATTCCTCTTAATTATAAAGTAACATGTAGGATAAGTTTCTAAGCATCTAGAATAAGAAAAATGAATTGAAAAATAATGGAATTGTTAATTGTATTTAGGGCTTCTTTTATATTACAGATTACTATAAAAACATTACTATTTTAGGACTCTAAAACTAGATAGAAGCCTTGAAATCAAATTTCTGAAATTTCCCTATATTTCTTTGTCGTGATCTACGTTTCACTATGGCTAAGAATTATGTCATTGTGGCATAGCTTATGTTAGTGTCATTCCGATGAAACATAGCTTTTGCAATAGTGAAGATAGGATTTACCATAATGAAAGGTAAATATTTGTGCTACATGATATTTTTATGACTGTATGAGCTATATCTAGCTGAGGTATGTTGCATGATCACATGCTGAGATCTTGCTGTTATGCTTATGAAAGGAATTGAACTTGGATAGTTGATATGTAGTAGTAACTGATAGAAGTTGAGATTCTATCTTATGAATTAAGAAATGTCGTGATTGTGTATTTTGTTCTAACTGTAAGAATGAGGTATTGTGATGAAGGTGTATGGTATAACCATGTGGTTTGCCTCCATAGAGCTCACTATGGTTTGCAATTTGGAGATGATAGTGCATCCTCATTTGTGTCATTGCATGGATTTCCTGAGACAGTATACCCCAAGGGCAACTACCCCCTAGGATGCTGGGTAGTAAACCTATTGGGATAGTATAACTCTTTTCAGGAGGAGCCCATTGTGTGTATGTGCTTTGCTGACTTTGGCTAGTCCGCGTCACATATGGGCAAAGCTTGTAGGAATCATCAGTCACATGGTAGAACTCAGCCCATGGGTTCAAGTTGGCTGATATAAGGAGGATATAAAATAGAAATTGAATTTAAATTAATGAGCAATGTTTGATGCTATATCATGCTATCTATTGATTTTTTCTCTTGGTGCATACATGTGATATTTGTTATCTGTTATGAAACAATGATATGTTTAATGATTGTTTTAACTGTTAGTCCTACTCGGTACCTCTTAGGGTGCCAGTAATGAGGTAATAGGAGTTTATGTTATTGAGATAATTGTCTCACTCTATTATTTTTACAAGTTAAAGCAGCAAAGGTGCTGTGTTGGGTAAGAGCACAAGGTTGGAGGTCGTGTGGCAAGGTCACTGTACCTCGCATTTTATTATGTTATATTTAGCTTTTGATTATTTTCCACCTAGGACATGGTCATATGTTGATTTATTTATGGACATTTGTTAATTTGGTTTATTAAACCCTTATTTTGTTATTTTATGGTTTGATTTGGTTTTTGAATAAAAGCCTAGTTTTGGGGCCTCGATTCGCATTATGATTGATGGTACATATGTGATGAGTACATGATTCTGGTATATTTTTATTTAATTATTTTGATAGTAGTTTATTATTGGTTATAATTGTGTCAATTAGGTATAAGAAAGGATCCTCAATCCTTTTCTAACATGATTATGTATTCAAGGTAAGTAAAATCTTTAATAACCATGGTATGGTGTTTTGTAGACTATATATGTTTATATCATTGTTATGCAAAAAAAAAAAAGGTTAAATATGATAAGCAAGTTGTAAGGTGTTATATAAATTACTCACATTCACTTGCTTTCGATGTTTCCTCCTTCCACCACGTCGGTCTCCCAATCTCAACTCGTGCTGACTTTCTTCTCTCCTCTCTTTATTTTTTTTCCCCCTATTGCAAAGGGTATTTTTGTCATTTCTGTTAACTTCACAATACCAATTCATGTGGTCCCTTTTTTTTGTGTCATTTGCAGCTGTTAACTATCTTTTTTGGGATTTAGTATTTTTAGGGTTCTTTTTTTTGTTGTTTTCACAACAAACAATTCGAATGAAATAATAATTATCTAAAATATTCCTGATTATTTCTAAATCCATACTCCATCAAAAGTGTAATAAAACGTGGGGAGAAATTTTGAAAAAAAAATTAAAAAAATAATTTGCATAGAACTCAAAATAAACAACGTTATTTTTCAATTTTTTTTTTCAGACACTTGAGTGTCATTCAATCATTTTTTTCAAAATTATTAATTGTCATTAAAACAAAACAAGAACATTAACCAAATTAGTGGAGAAATAACATGACGGGGGTAAACAATAACAGAAAAAGGAGAGCAAAGCATGACGATTTATTTACATGTTAAGAATTTCAAAGGCGGCCACAAGTCTCTCGGTCATAGCCTAAAGTCCACGCTCGATGGAGAAACAGACCTCACAACGTGTTCACAGGTCACCAGTTCACGTTCACCTAACAATTTTGTACCATATTCTATACATTGTTGGCATCCAAAGGTCACAGAACGTTAAATGTTTATTTAGTCTATCACATTGGAAACTTCCCGATAACTTGCTTTTTGGTTACCTTTCAACAAAACTGGACCCCACACGTCATTTTGTCCTTTTCTTTCGCCATCTTTCCGTTGAATTAGTTTATCTAACAATGTGCGAAGTGGATATTAAAATAACATGCCAACTGATAAACTTTCCAAAATTATCACGCCGTTAATATCACCGTTAATTCCTAGGAATTTGGGTTTTCATCCGTAATTTTAAATCGTTAGTTGTGGTTGTTATAAGGAAAATTTTTTAAAAAATATCTTTAAAATTTTAAATCTCAAATCAGAATTTTTTTTAAATATTATCAATTGTTCTTAAAATATAGTAAATAAAACTGATTTGAAATTTTACAATTTTAAAATTTTTTTTGGGATTCTTCTTTGTTATAATTTTATAAGCACTTTATTTTAGTTTACATAGCAATCAAATCAAACTTATTAAAAGTATATCAATAATTTGTTAAACTCATATCAAATCCTTACAATATTATAGAAATCAAAACCGACTAGTTAAAACTACAAGGATTGAAACTAAAATTTGATCAAGCTATGTAAAAGCTGACAATAGTATTCATCCTTGGCCCAAATAAAAAAAGAATTAAGCCATTATTATAAGTTAAGGTTAATCTATCATCCTGAATTTTTTTCCAGTATATTTAGTATTCTAAATTATTTTATAGTTTAACTAATACACTTAAATATTTTTTTTTAGTATTTTGCAATTCGTCAAGCTTTTAGAGTATTTTTCTAAGTGCGCTTAGCACATTTAAGTATTTTGTGATAAAATTTTAGCCTTAAATATTAAGATGTTGGGCAAATTTAAAAAATATTTAAATGTGGTGAATGGAGTATAAAATACTTGACGATGATACCAGACTAAAAAATGTCCTAAAGTGCTGGATGAAGTTTGAACGCATTATTATTTATGCATACAGAATTATTGAAAATAGTTTTATTTATGATCATGGATGATAGCCGGTGGAGTCCTAGTGTCGTTTAAAAAAGGGAAACGGAAAGTAGAAAGAGCTAAAATTAATTGAAAAAAAAAAAGCAAATTATTTAGTGGGGGAGGTCTTGTTGCACTATATATAATTAGAACTTTTCGAGTTATATTCTCTTTCCTCCTCTCTCTTTTTTTCCTAGCAGTTAGATTGACATATTTCAATGATAATCATCTTTATAATCCGTAAATTGTGAGAGGTTTGTAAATTTTAGAAGTTGATATAGATTGTTGGAAAAAACAAAGTTTATTTGGAAATTTAGTTGCAAGCTTATTTATAAAACTGGAAAAAGATCAATTATAATTTAATGGTAAATAATGGAGAATTTGTAAATTGAAAGCTCAATTGAAAAATCAAAACTGCTATTGTAAATTGTGAATTTTTTTTCAAAATGATTAAAGACCGAATACAACCAGTTGATAAGTTAATTAGTTAATCTTCTTATTTTTACAGCTAAACTTTCAGGGTTTACAAATATTTTACACTACATGATTTTAATGTGCTACTAATTTTTCAATATTTAGGATTAAGCTTTCAGGTACAATTAAACTTAGGAGACTTGTAGCTAAGTAATGTACCGACCATGCGAGATATTTTTAAGCTTTGGCAATTTTCTATAATTTTATAAGCCCATGGTTTTCCAATGTTCCTTTGTTGTTGTATATCCCTATGCACCATTTTCCCATTAATATAATGTATCATTTTCTTTTTTTCTTTTTAAAAAAAAGGAGTTAAAGTGTAATTTTGAATATAATCTTATTTTTCATGTATGATTTTGTCCCTAATCTTTTTAGTGGTGCAATTTTGACCATAAAAGGCAAAATTACATCTAAAGATTAGGGATAAAATTGCAACTAAAAAAAGAATGAATGGTAAAATTGCACTTGAAAAATAAGATAGGAGCACAATTGTACCACTAAAGGATTAGGAGTAAAATTGTACCTTAGAAATAAGGTCATGGTCAAAATTCCACCTTAACCCAAATAATATAATATGTCCTTGATTTATTGGTACATAATTTTATAAAAAATGTGTAAACTACTCCCTCCGTTTCTTATAATAAGATCTTTTTAACTAAATTGTGAAGTTTAAGAAAACAATTAAAATTAGTTAAAAGCAATTAATATGTAGCAAATGTAATTTTTTTCCAAATATATTCCTATATATAAATAAGTAAATATGAGAAAGTAATAGTGAGATAAATGAAGAAAGAGAATGTATTAAATGAATTAAATTAAGAGTCAAATAGGTAATAATGTATTAAATGCTTAGACAAACTCAGAGAATTTTATAAAAAAAATAGCCCATTTAAAAAATTAGATCTTATAATAAAAGATAATGCAAAAAGTGACATATAAAAAGAAATGGAGGGGGTAAATTTTTCGCTCTACAATTTATAACTTTGAAAACAACAACAATTCTATGTGAAAAAACAATAAGATAAAGGTGTAATTTTATTCTTAGTCTTATTTCTCAAGTACACTAGGAGTCTGATTTTTTCTAATTGTATAATTTTACCCATGATTATTTTCTTTATGCAATATTACGTATGATTTTTTTGTACAATTTTACTCCTATCTTATTTCTCAAATATACAAAAAAAATTATGGGTAAAGTTGCACAAAAAAAATCACCGATAAAATAATACAACTAAAATGACCTGAAAAATTAGATCACATTTAGTGAAAAATAAACGATAATTTTACCGGTTAAAATTGTAACATTTAAAACTTTGACAAATAATTATTAATTATAAATTTCACAAGTTTAGATCATTCTCAAGTTTTCTTTGTCATCTCTGTGCCCAAACGTCAAACACCTACAAGTCCCAATTTCCGGCAACTTATTAAAATTTAGTTGACCAAACAAATCCCACTCCTCCTCAGCTGTATTCACACCCCAATAATTTGCTTATATATTTATATATATTCCCATAATCACCCACTTAACTCGCCAAGTGACTCTGCCCTTCCATTTTTGTTCCGCACAGAAAAACAGAGCTCTTCGTCTTTCACAGAACAGGGGCGACCTGACCTTGTAAGAACACACACAGCCATGGCAGGCAAGCTCAAAGTGTTTGCTCTTCTGCTCCTATCAATCGCCACCTTCTCATGGCTCTTCCGCTCAAACCCGCTATGTTGTCGGCGGCAACACCGGTTGGACTGTCCCTCCCGGCGGCGCGTCCACCTACAGCAACTGGGCTTCTAACCAGAAATTCAAACAAGGCGACACTCTTGGTAACAAAACTCATACATAGTACCAATTAGTCCCAACACTTACTTTAATTTCTCCGTTCAGCGTAATAGCTCTTTGTCTTTTTGTTGTTCTGTGTAGTGTTCAGCTTTACAACCGGGCAACATGACGTAGCGAAGGTGACCAAGGCAGCTTTTGATTCCTGCAACACTACGAACCCCATTTCAATTCTAAATAATGGACCTGCAAGTGTCAAATTGAACGAAAGTGGTGAACAGTATTACATTTGTACTGTTGGGCCTCACTGTTCTCTTGGCCAGAAACTCGCCGTTAATGTTTCCAAACAAGCTTCTTCTCCTTCTGCTTCCCCTGCTCCTCAGCCCTCTGCTTCACCGGCGAAGTCTCCTGCGCCAGTGAAAGCTCCTTCACCAGCCCCAGCTTCAGCTCCGTCTCCTCAATCTGGAGCTGTAACTTACACCGTCGGAGACAAAACCGGATGGACCGTACCTTCCAGCCAGGCGTTTTATAAAACCTGGACTTCCAGCAAGACCTTCAAAGTCGGCGACATACTGGGTAAGAGCAGAAAGTGTCGAGTATATTTCAAATGCTATGTTCTTGAGCTACTGGGTATTATGATTTGAGAATAGATATGGTGTTCTTGAGGTGAATCAAGTTTCTTTCTGCTGATGGATTTGAGCGACTTGTGCAGTGTTCAACTTCCAGAAGAACGCACACAATGTGGCAGAGGTGACGAAGGCGAACTACGGCTCCTGCGGCACAGCATCTCCTCTTAGGCTTTACAATAACCCACCGGTGAGAATGACCCTGAACAAGTCCGGCGAGCATTATTTCATCTGTGCGGTCCCCGGTCACTGCGCCGGCGGGCAAAAGCTGGCTATCAACGTCACCGGCGCCTCCTCCCCAGCGACCTCTCCATCTCCAAGTTCGCCGCCATCTCCCACCGCTCCTGCCCCCGGATCTCCCGCTTCTTCGCCCTCCGGTGGCGCAACAAACCCTTCATCCCCATCTCCCTCCGGTTCTTCCAGCCCATCCTCGCCAAACTCCGGTGCGACGTCGTACAGAGTTGCCGGATTACTCGCCACCCTTTTGTGGATGGCTGCGGCATTACTGTGTTAGATAGATGATTAGAGATTGTTGGTAGTGTAGAGTTTGATGTGATTCGCTGTGGATCTTTGATTGTTTTTGCGGAGATTGAGTCTTTTATTGGAGTTTTGCAATAAAGTTGGATTTTCCATTCATATGCAGTTTTGTTTCACTAATTTACACATAAAGTTGTGGTTGTGGTTGTGGTCATAGTAACTTGGACAAATTTTAATTTGAACTATAATGTGGGATGTTTATTAGTTCGGAGTGAATTTGCCTGTGATTTACAATTTAGTACAGGCTTTTATATGTTTTATGTAGATTCTTTTCTTGGTCAGAAATATAGAATTACAGATAATCCATTCCTCCTCGTTCTTGTTTTTATGTTTTTGTTGTGTTGCTTAAGTTAGAATTCCCACTTCATGTTTATGTTTATGTACAATAACATGGTGTTAAAATTTAAAATTGTAGTTTGGTCAAATCAACTAACTAGTGAATCAATCTTTTCATGAGTAGGATCTAGGATTTGGGATGAGTCGAAAATAAATTTTTTTATTTTTTTATTAAATTTAAAATGATGTTATCTTGAATTATAATATACGTAAATGAGAGACTATACTATTCAGTAATTAAATCATACATATTTTTTAATCTTATTTGTGAGTTATTTCTAGCATGTTTTACTTGGTCCTGTAGATAGAACAAGAGAAAGAGATATATATATATATATATATATATAGATACAGATGTTTTGCATCATGTTTAATCACACATAATTTTTTTTTTTTGGCCAATACAATCACACATAGTATAACTATATAAATTTTCACGATTTGAAAGCTATAAAGCTCACCTTGCTCAATGCCTTTTTCTGAGCTCAACAACAATACTACTTGACAAAATGTAAAGCCGCTAACTCATTATAATATTTTTATGTAATCCCAATTTAATCCCATTAAGCCTGCACTCTAAAATAAATTTTATACAAGAATATCCTTATTTACCTTTTGCATTTTATAATTTATTTTGAAATATCATATGCATATATTTTCCAATTCATAAATGTTATAAGTTTATTTGACTGATACTTATAAAGTTTTTTAATTAAGTCATACCAGTCTCAAGATTTTGAATACAAGAAAGAAATATTTTGTAGGGAGTAATTACTATTTTTTAAGAGAAAATTATCCTCAGATGAGTAACCATTTTTATCAAGACATTGCAAATCAAATCTCCAATAGCAATAAACTAAAATTAGTTTAGAACGTTTTCCTAAAAAATCAAACAAAATAATAAAAGTTTTATCATATTATCCTAATGATCAAAATAAACACTCCGTTACTTGTGTAAATCCAATCAATTCGTTATCTACTTTTGATACTATTGATATGAAAATTTTTTGATTGAAATTGTCAAATTTTATACAAGTCAGTTTTTCCAACTCATTCGGTAATGCTTGATAGCTTTTGACTTGTATCATTAATAGTTTTATCCCTCAATTTGCATCTTTCAAAGAAATCAATAATCTTGTAGAAAAACTAGTTGAAATTGGATTAAAAAAGTTGTTATTTCAATCAAAGAGTTTGGAAAACAGGTTGTGCAATTGAATGCTTGTCTAATAATGAATCATATTAAGAGATTTTCAATAGTATTGGTATTGACAATATTGAACTTACTGTACAGCTATTCTAAAACATAACATTAGATAACAAACAAAACAATTTTATATAAAATATTTAATTATTTTTGAAATAATTGGATTAATGTTTTTAAGTTAAATTACGCCCCGTAATTCAGGATTATGACTTCCTCTTGGCAGGGATTGAACCAGGAAAATTGCTCGGGGTGGTGAAGTATATGTACATTTGTATATATAAATATTATTCTAATGAAAATATACTTATACATAATAATAAGATCTTTAAAAATATGATAAAAATAAAAATTATAAGAAAAATTCTAATAGTCGTTCTATGAGAAAAACTAGTTGTGTTTTATTTATTTTGTAAATTTTAAATTTTTAATCGATAAGAATTTTCTTAATGATAAAATCATGTCCAAGACTATTCCTAGGAGGGGAAATATACTACTAGAACTTTAGAATTGTGCGATATATACCAACAACCTAGCCTAACTTTAGCCTGCTTTTAGTAAACCAGATATGCCTAATCCTCCAAATAATTTTAGATGAGGTCGTATTAAGTAACATACCATTTAAAAATTAAAATCAACAACATTTGAAAAATAATATGTTCCATATCTAACACTAGCACGTCTTATGAAAGAAGCTGACAAAAATACTCTCAATATCTTAAATCACTCAACAACTCTTCCAAATTTAACAGCAAGAAGGCCTTATATCATTATGTGAGATAAGCTATATAGATTGCACAATACTATTACATTCTATTAATAGCCAAATCTTTAGATAAATTGTTAATCTAACAACCTTGCTCAATAATTTCATAGAGTAACTACAAATGCTTGAAGGACATTCGAGTAACAATCCTGTTATCATAGTAGTGAATCTCAAAATTCAAGAATGTAAATTGTTACTCATTTTGTTGCTAGCTTCTTTATGAGGGCTTTTAATTGCATAATTATCTTTCGGATCAGTTTTAGGTTTTTTGAAATAGAACAACTATGTATAAAATTGGCTCAAAAACTGGTCATAACTGACAATTGAACTGGCATAATTGAATGCTATGAAAGTATCAAATTTTTGAAACTCTAGGATTGGATAGAAGCTTAAAACATTGGTTTTTGACTGTTTTCATATTCTGATGGCAAATTGTTGAGTTCACTGTTGTGAAGAAATTGTCTTGTTGCAGTAACAGTACTCGTGACTTTGTCGTGAAGAAAGACAAATGAGGAGCTCATGTTTGTATCCCTTATGTTTTCACTATGTGTTCGCATGATGCTTATGCTTAAGATGAATATGATGTTATGGCATGCTAACAACTATCGGATATATATGAATTGAATCACATATGTGATAAAGTGATTATACTATATGTTAGAATAAAGATATGCCATAGTTATATGTGCAATGTGTAACTTATGGGGAGGTATTGTGATAGACATGTATTGAATCACCACGTGGTTTGCCTCTATAGGGTATACTATGAATGTCACTTGGCACTTTGAAAAAAATAGCACACCCTCATTTGAGACACTATCCTAGAGCTGTGCACCCCGAGGGCAACATACCCACGAGGATATCGAGCAGTAAACTCACTAGCGTAGCGTACTTTTTTTCTAGAGGAGTCTATGGCCTATGTGTGCTCTGCTAACTTTGGTTGGTCTACATCACACATGAGGAAAGCTCGTAGGAATCACTAGTCACATAGTAGGATTTAGGCTATGGGTTCAGGTTGGCAAGTGTAAGGAGGATATGAGACATGAATTAAACTTAAATAAAGAGCAATAGTTAATGAATTAAACTTGTCTATCTTTTTTTTGTTCTATGTGACTTGTTATATGCTATCTGTTATGAAATCTTAACTTGAGTAACGTTTACCTTGTCATTTTAGTTTCATTGGCCACTTCTTAGAGGTGTTAGTAGAATGTTTGTCTCACTTTGTTACTTTTGCGGGTGAGAGTAGCAGAAGAGCTGCACCAGGAAAGGAGCATGAGGCTAGAGGTCATGGGGCAATGTAACCCCTTCCTTGCACTTTATCCTATTATGTTTAACTTTTGATTATTTGCCATATAAAACATGGACGTTCATTGTTTTAGCTATGGTTAGTTGTTGAGTTTGGTTTACTGAATATCTATTCTATTATTTTATGATTTGGTCTTGTTCCTAGACAAAAGCCTAATTTTGGGGCTTGGATTCATATTATGTTTCATGACATGCTTGTAATGAATAATTGGTTTGATCCATTTATTTTGAAAGTAGTTTATTATCTGTTACGACTACGTCTATTAGGTCTAAGAAGAGATCTTTTATAACTATATTAGTAGTTCAATCCTTTCTAATATAGTCATACATTGAATGTGAGTAAGTCTCGTTTATAACCACGATATAGTGCTATATAGATTGTATGTGTTTGTTTCTTTTATATATTGTGGTTATGAGAAAAATAGGTTAAGTATGGTAAGCAGGTTATAAGGTGTTACATTGAGAGAGTAATGAAGAACCAAATCACAACAAATATGTTTTTTTTAATAATATTTTATTTTTATTAATTATAAGGATATAATAGTCTTTTTGTAACTTATAACTAATTATGAAACAAAATTAGTCTAAACATTCCCTATAAATATTACTTTATGCCCAATATACTTTTAAAGTTTACTCTCAATCCCATTCCCAATTTCAATCCATCAAAATTCAAGCTATGTATTAAACAAGACCATAGTAGGTTGATAAAATTTCCCTTTCGCCTTATTAGGTACTTCCTAGTCACAAATTATTATAGTAGTTTTTTTCTATTTAAATCAGTCAACTTGAATTATATGATCAACATCTCTATTGATGTTCCTATTTTTTTTGTATAATTGATTCTAAATATCTAAACATTGCTACTTGTGGAATGACTTAATCTCTAATCTCACCTCCATATTACTTCTAACTCACCTTTTATCAAAATTGCAATATATATTCTGTCTTACCTACTAAGAGGAAAACCCTTTGACTTTAGCTAGTGTTTTTTCTTATAACTCAAATATAGAGTTAATCTCTTCTTTCAACTCAGCCAAAAAAACTATATCATTGGCAACAAGCATGTACTTGAGAATTTTGTCTTTTATAAAATTCGTTAAACTGTCCAGAACTAGGTTAAACAAATAAGGGCTCAAAGATCATCTCTAATGTAGATCAATCCTTATAGGAAAGTCCTTAGTCTCACCTCTAGGTGTTCTTATACTAGTTGTTACCCTCTTATACATATGTTGTATGATTTTGATATAAGCAACACAAACACATTTCTTTTCTAAGGCTTTTTAATGGCACACAGTCATAAGTTTTTCCCGAATAAATGAAAACCATATGCAAGTCAATTCCTTTGCTACGGTAATTTTTTTATTAACCCCCTTACTAAATATATTTCTATAGAATTTGTATGTGTGAATAATTCAATTGTATTCATCTTGTGTAATAGAAA